GCGGTTTTCGAAACTACACAATTAACAGAACTAGAAAAAATCGAAATTCTCCGCATTGTTGGGTTTGGTAATAGAATCTCAACTCCAATAGAAGCAACTCCATTTGTTCATGAAAACCACCGTGAAAAAGAGGCGGCGAGTAGAATAGAAGCTAAGTTTGAGAATCTGGTCATGTAAGCGATCTAAATCTGAAGATTCTGCTCGAGGTGAAACTGAACAACTTGAAACTTTTTCTTCTTTGGAAGAAAGCTGGACGTCCAGGACGGTGACGGTTCGAAAGGGGGTGCAATGGTACACCGACTGTTTAAGTGCGGCCAGTACAGAATTGTCCGGGGTGGGAGTGTGCCGACAAGACACGGTGAAGAGGAGGGCTAGTAAGGGTAACATAAGGGGTGGATGGAGGGGGAATGGTTGAAAAGACCTACTCGCTGGACCCATATTGATCTCCCCCACAGCACTACCACTACTACTTTCCTTCTTTGGAAGCACAAATATCATCCTTACAAAGTTATTCCAGTTTACGACTTATTTGAAGATGGTTTCTGTTGAAGCCACGTTCTGTTTGAATAGTTATGGAACCGAGAAAAATGTCCATATTGGGCATCAAAAAATCCGCTTTGGACGTCGGAGCTATCACTTTCTTTGAACAGTCTCTAACAGGTCGTGTCATGTTTAAGCCGATGGCTCAATTTTACCAAAGCCGCCAACATTTAGACCGATGTGAATGATTTCCACTTTTGAAAGAACTTTCAATGCCATTTTTATCTTTCATATAAAAAACCCATTCTATTGACCGAAACTAAAGTTTCGCCATAATATATCATTTTCAGCCCTACATTCATAAGACACTCTGCATACAATGGCTTTCACAAATGTAGACAGGTTTCATTAAGAATCAAAGTCGTAGACTTTCAAGCAAAGAAATTATTCAGTTCAGCTAATAAAATCGGTAAGTTTAAGGAAAAACAACCGCATAAGCGTAAAATACAAGTTTTCCTGCTACGGCCTGAAAGAAAGCAAGATAGCAATTCATTTCCTCTCTCGAACCTAATGGCTTTCTTGGCAAATAACGAAAATTTCTTTTCCTTACTTTGGCTAAAACTCACTCGTAAATTTTAAGTTTTCTTTTGCTTCATATAATTCGAACATAAATCAAGGCAAATTTTGTTTTTCCAATTTCATTACCAATTCAAATCGAGTAACTCTACGATAACTCATGTGGTTCACTTGGCATTCACGGGAAGCTTTTTCTTTTCCTGAGGCGCTCTAAATGCCTTTTATTGATCTTTGATAGTTGAAATGGGCATTGCGGAATACTAAAATTGGAAATTTGTTTTTGCCCGGACTCGGATCCGTTCATCATCCCTTTTTATGGATGTTATTCATTGGATGAGCAATGAATTTGAATGTTTGCCATTTGGCAATTAGGAGACCTAATCAAGACAAATAGAAAATAAATGCCATTTCGATATTAATCCTTCGAGTCATTTAATAATAAATAAGCTACACTAATCTTATTACCTGTTCCATAGATCTTCTGGGTCAAATGTCAGTGTTTGACGCCCTAAAAGATATCTGGGGATTATATATAATCGATTGGTTAATAAATAAAATCCACGATCCCATTATCGCCAGGCCAAAGACCAAATAAATTTTCCGACCCGCTTATCCAATGCCCGAAACCTACAAAGCCCTTTTCCAGTAAAGGTGGGAGTCTTATACGCACGTCGATATAGAGGGCCATTTTGTATTATTAAAAGGCTCTACACAAAAGAAAGGTAATATTACGATTTTCTGCAAAATAAACTTATTTTGTTCTATAAATATACTTCAATATAATGGTTTTCAATATTAATAATATTTTTCTTTTAATGCAACCGTGTCGATTTTCATTATTTTCATTTCACATCAGCTCTCTCTTCAAAAGGATTTCTTTGCATTGTATGCTTCAAGTAAGTGATTTAGCCAAATTTAATCGAAATTCAAATCAGAAGGCTTCAGCTGTTAATCAACTTAATGATCCTTGAATGAAACGATAATCGTCTGAGGTTTGAGGGCACTTCCATAGGAGTTGATATCAACGCCAAAAACTTAACGAGAAATTGAAATCCATTAGGCAAAATGGAAAGCGACCAGATGTGGATCAGGAAGACGCGATTCAAAATAATTATAAACGTCAATAAGACGCAACTTGATCACTTCTTTGAATGCAGAACTCGGAAGCAAAGCTATACAAGATACTGGAGAAAGCGAAAACTCGAGAACCAGAAGATAAGAGAACAGCTAGAAGTAACCACTGAAACAGTTACTCGATATTATTGAAAATCAAGTCTTTAGTAATAAGAAGTATTAAATAGAATAAAAATGTACTTTAGAAATTAGTGCCGAGGCAAACTAACTTTACTAACAGCAAGGGAGACAATTCAGATAAATATCAAAAGAAACTTTTCACCGACAATAACTTTAAGGCCATAATGACGATTTTTTTTCAATAATTTTGGAAATAATGCCGAAAAGAAACTGACGGTCAAAGACTGATCGGCGCGTCATGTGCATAGGCTACTGGATGAGAGACTGGTGAAATTGATATGGGAGGAGGTTTCTACGGGAAGAAGACCACCTGGACGATCCAGAATGCGTTGGACAGGCAACATTGCGTTAGATTAACAAAAAATGAACATCCATCCCCTTTATAGAATGATGGAGGATCAAAACACCTGGAAATGTACAGTCAGCAAGACTCACCCAGGGATGTAGTGCCACTTTATAGATAGAAGGAATAGTTTTAAGCAAAGCCGATTGACCCCAAATAAGAAAAACTAAACATCTTCATCTCAGCTCTATATTTTGAGGAAACGGAACTTTAATCAGACCATAAGTGAAAATATCGGCAGCATTAAAACCATAAATGAACATCGAAGGACCACCACCAAAAATCGTGAAGAAAAGACCAATCTAGCACAAGAGAAGTATTAAAATTTGACAAAATTTAAAGCAATTATTAATGTTAGTCGATACAGAGGACTGA